AAGAAAGAAAGAAAGAAAGAAAGAAAGAAAGAAAGAAAGAAAGAAAGAAAGAAAGAAAGAAAGAAGCAGCCTGGTGGCCAGGCGCATGGGGAGAGTGGGGCAAGTTCCCCCCTGCCCTTTCCCCCTTCCAGATTACCTCGTGTTGTTCGCAATGCAAGAGACACAAGCCTTGTGTTCCCACTGTGTACCAAGTTTGGCTGAAATTGCTCGAGGCGTTTCAGCATAAATAAATATAATATATATATATATATTTAAAAATAATAAAATAATGATAAGAAAGAAGAAAGACAGAAAGAAGATAGAACGATAGAAGATAGATGATTCAGTAAAAATTGTATGTATATACACATACATACATGTGTGGTGTGTGTGTGTTTGCACATGTACATGCGTGCGCGCACATACACTGAATTACATATAATGAAAGAGAAGAAATATTTTGGCAAGGTTGCAGAATGGAGGAGTCTGGGAACACTGTGAATTGTTATGTTCTTCTCTGTACTTAAATAAATGCCTTTGTTCTTTTAGTGGATTAGATAACATGTCTTAGTTCAGCTCCAGGAAATTATGAGAAAAAATTATTTATTTTATTAAAGTTGTTAAAGCCTTTTGACATTGTGGTGATAGATTTCCAGTCAAGATCAGTTTTCAATGTCAGAAAGCAATGGAGATAGGTGACTAAGAAATTTAACAAAATGTAGGTCCTACTCTTGCTATCCTATATACTGCATCATTACATTATATTTCAGAGTAAACACTGTATGAGTAAATGATCGGCCTGTATTTGTCAACAGCAGAAAAGTTGGGCCTCAAAGCAGAAAAGACTGGCAGATGGGAAGGACAAGCATTAAATTTCTATCTCCAATGTGTAGAAAGTAAGTACCCACCTCTCTCCTAGAAGAGTGAAATATTTTAGGAAAAATTAAAAAAGATAGAATGGATGAGAAATTGAGAAACATTCCCTTGGAGACAGAAACTCAGAGCCTCAGTTCCCTGCCCCCCCTCCCCCAGATACTGGGCAGCTTTAGAAATGAAGATTTGGTAATCCATTACTGCCTGCAGCAAAGTCTGGCTTTGAACAAAGGCAGAACAAAACCATTCAGCCACAATAGGAATTACCCAACAAACCCCTTCACTGCATCAACCAGCAAACTTCAACCAAGCCTGGGGCTCAGAAAGCCTACAGTGTTAGCTGTGACCCCTACAACAACCAATAGAATTCATATTCTTGCACTTGAAATTCCTGTTCCTATGCAAGAAGCCCGAGAGGATATAAATACCCCTCTCTCAACTCCATGTGGTCAGCTGCACCAGAACCATGTGCTTGATGGTTCTGCTCCATTAAACCATCTTTCCAATCAGCCACCATGTTTCCAGTGTCTTTCTCCCTGCTTGGAATTGAACCAGATGGATATTTCTTCCAACAAATGCAAATTTCCCATTTTCCCATACTTTCCCTTGAAATCGTTTACCCAGATAAAGTGGACTGGTGTAATTAATATACCTTACTAGGTGGGAATGGAGTCTGAGACAATGATATCTTAAATACTGAACTCTGAATCTGATCTGAAGCTATGTTTTCACTTAAAAATAGGTAACTATGAGGATTCCCATGTTACAATATAACAAAAGGTAAAGTCTTCTGTAACTTTGAATTTGATTCTTAATGCCTACGTATCCATATTACTTTACTGGCAACATAAACTATGAAAGTGGTTTCTCACTGCCTTCTGAGTATTCCGCCCTCCCCCTAGCTTCTTAGTCTAATCTTCAAATCAAACATTTCCTGGAACTAGTCCAGATCCGCCTCTGGCTTTTTAAAAAAAAATCAACCAGGTGTCTAAAAACTGCTTATTGAGTTTTAACAAAACAAATAAAACATCTTATTTGAGTACAGCATAGTTCCAGATTATCACATTTCCATACAAACATAATTTGATATGCATATTCATCTTATTTATTCAACTTCATGTATTATTACTCTTTTTCCAACTTCTCACTATTTCTCCCTTTACTTCTATTCAATTATATTTCTTTTACCTAAATTTCTATATCTTTTTATTCATTGTACTTATACTTTCATCTGTCTTATTTACAATTTCATATGTTCTCTTCCAACGTTCTTCCAAAATTTTATTAATTCTCAATAAACAAGCATAGACAAATAAAACACAAAACATGAAAACATAAAACTTCTTTTTGGAAAGCGGCTTAACCCCGGGTTACATCTTTTTGTACAGAGATAAATCAAATTCATGCTCACCTTATATACTATTTCATATCTTATTTAACATTCTATATTTTCTATATGTCTTCTTTTATTTGTTTTGTTAAAACTCAATAAGCAGTTTTTAGAAAAGATGTTTTATGTTCTTATGTTTTATGTTTTGTTTGTTTGTGTATTGTCTTTGAAAACTAAAAAATCAACCAGGTGTCCACACTTGCCAAGACAATTGGAAAATTGAACAAGTTCCTTATGGCATTACCACAAGCAGATGAAAATGCCTTAACTAATTATGATCTTCAAGGTTGGCTGAATGTCCCAGTCTTCATCCACACATGCACAGCATGTACATTAAAAATAACTTCAACAAGCAAACTTGTTGAGGCTCAAAATATCCCTGTACTTCAAAAATGCTTTATCAAAAAGCAAAATGTTTTATCAAAAAACGAAATGTAATTACCATCCACAAAGATAATTTACATTTCAGTCCAATTAGATGCAATGGCAAAACAAAATAGAGAGTAAGCAGAAACATGAAAAAAGTAGAAATAACACAAAATGGAGCAGAGAAAAAATCTGATATCTGTCCTGATTAAATGGTCTATATATACATTAGATATAAAGGCCATGATGATTGTGCTATTAATAATTTTCATGTGAAATTTCCCCTCTCCTCATAATCTGTTAGTAATAAGTGAAACCAACAGGTTCTAATTCTGCTGTAAGAAGTTAGCACCCACCCTTCCTAGGAAATATTAAAAAAGCAAAATATCTCCCCTAAAAGGGAAGTTGAAACTCAGAGAGACAAAAGCTCACCCCCCACCCTTGTTAATGGGAGGGCCATTAAGGCCTGGGCCAGAGTATTCTACATAACAAAGCCCTCTACCCATCTTACCACATAGCCTGGGAAGATTGCATCAGCCAGCAATCAGGTGAAGCCATGTGGTCCAGACAAAGCATACAAAGTTAAGCTAAGACCCCCGCCCCTGGGAGTCTGAAAGCCAATGGGATACATTTTTTTTGCACAGGAACAGGAAACACTAAGGTGGGGCCCAACAGAGGGTATAAAATTAAGGGTCTCTCAGCATCTTGCCCTTTCCTTTCTTTCACCCAATATCTTGAAGCATATAATCATCCTTTTCACTTTAGAACTTTAAGCCATGTGGTCTTGTCCACCATTAGACCATCTTTCCAAGCAGTCACCATGTTTCCAGTGTCTTTCTTCCCCACTTGGAATTGAACCCAGAAGGATATTTCTTCCAACAATTTTATACCCCACCTTAGTGTTTTCTGTTCCTGTGCAAGAAATGTATCACATTGACTGCCAGACTCCCAGGGGCAGGGGTCTTAGCTAACTTTATAGGCTTTGTCTGGACCACCTGAGTGAAGCCATGTGGTCCATCTTCCAGGCCATGTGGTGAGATGGGTAGAGGGCTTTGTTATGTACAATACTGACCCAGGCCTTAATGGCCCATCCATTAATAAGGTGGGGAGTGACCTTCTGCCTCTCTGAGTTTCGATTTCCCTTTTAGGGGAGACATTCTGCCTTTTTAATATTTCCTAGGATATTTCATTTTTCTAGGAGGGGTGGGTGCTAATTTCCTACACTGCTTTGCACACAAACAAAACAAATGTTCTGCAATACAGTGGCCTGTAAAACCCATGAAATAAAAGAATAGATTCTTCCTGAAACAAATATAAGAAAAGATGCTAAGTCTCTTATGCATGCTGGGGCTTGGCCTGCATTCGCAGCATACCACAACTCCCTGTGAAATAAAGGAGGGAAAGAACCAGAAATAAATGTCAATTATTTCTATTAACCAATGCCTAAAAAGGAAAAAAACTTTACAGAATTTGTAAAGCATCAGTTATATTTCAATAGACAACAGACTTTAGCAGGGCTTTAAAAAGACATTGGGTTTAATGATTAAAAAAAGCAATTCAGATTCAGCAGGACACGCTTCCTTTCAACGTGAATGGATATGGCCAAGGTTAGAACGAAGCTTAAATGAATAAAGAAATTCACAAATGCACGCGGTTTTTAGTCAATAAATTGTTTCTTTTTCTTTTAATTAAAGGCCGTACTAAGTTCATTAAAAAGCACCTAGAATACAGTAAAGCGCAATTTAAAAGGCGACAGTTCACAGAGGTATTTTCAGGTAGAAATCTTTTGTAAAAAGAGGACAAAAGAATTTCATCATCCGCTCCCTTTTCCCGCCTCCAAACTCTGAAAGGCTGGGAGTTTCATTTATTTTCCAAGATATACTAAAAGCTCTGCACAGAAGCAACACTCGAGTTCTACCCTTAACTGTTCCTTTTAATTATCTCTCACGAATTTTTCTTTAGAGTATCTTTCTCTCCAACGGAAATGAATCGTCACTCACCCACAATACTGTTCCGCGCCTTTTTCTTTTAAATAATAGAGGAAATGAGGGGGGGATAAAAACATGGTTCGCCCGTCTAAAAGTCTAGTGAAATCACTATCCTCAGTGCTCGGGGGAGACGAGGCCAACTTGCGTATTAGGATCGTGAATATTCATCGCCCGCCACGCGGTTTTCTCCTCCAAGCAAGGTTGCCCGGGGCAAGGCAGTAGCGCATCTCACGCCAGCTTTCCTTCCCTGCGCCTGCCTGATATGCGGATGGAGAAAAACGGCCAGACACACTAAGCCACCTTTCGAGCCATCTGCCCCGACAGGCCCCGGGCTTTCTCGAGTCTAAAGCGAGGTGGGGAAGAGGGCTTGTCTTGCCCACCCAATTTACCTGTAAAGGTGAGCGACGCCTTTCTCTCTCTCTCTCTCCCTCAGCCAAGAATCCAAACCACGATGCCTCGGTTGAGTCTCGGCCTTGCGCTTTTTTCTTGCGGCTTCTGTAAGATGCCTCGCTGGGGCGCCGGGAGCTCCTGTTAGGCTGGGTTTTACAGGACGTGCTAAACCGGAACGTGTGTAAATATTTTCTCAGTCGTCATCACATGCTGATGTAAGGGTCCACGGCTACATTAAAATCTTCCAGGAAAAGCGTGGCAGAGCTTCTGAATGAATGGATGCATGGATGAATGAACGATCAGCGGCAATTTCTTGCGGCGGCACAGTGATCAGCATCTCCTCCTCCCCCACCTCGACGTAGTTCCCGACTACGTAGGGGCTTAGCAGAACCAGTAAAGCGATTCACTGACATCTGAGCCTTCAAGCACCATTGCCATCCGGTGCGTGGCCATGATGTTCCGATTTTTTATTTTTATTTTATCAAGCGATTATTAGATAACAGGTATAAGTATAAACATGGTTATGAATACATGAAATGGATGTGAATAAGAAAAAAAAGAAACAATAGGACAGGGATGGTAGGTACGTAGGTGCGCTTATGCACACCCCTTACAGACCTCTTAGGAAAGGGATGAGGTCAATAAAACAGTCTAAGGTTAAAGTTTTTGGGGTTTTGGGAAGAAACCACAGAGTCAGGTAGAGTATTCCAGACATTGACCACCCTGTTGCTGAAGTGTATTTCCTGCAATCAAGTTTGGTGCGGTTTACCATGAGTTTGTATCTATTGTGTGCTCTTGTATTGTTATAGTTGAAGCTGAAGTATTCATTGACAGGTAGGACATTACAATGTATAATTTTATGTACTATACTTAGATCTGTTTACCATGAGTTTGCATCTATTGTGTGCTCTTGTATTGTTATGGTTGAAGCTGAAGTATTCATTGACAGGTAGGACATTACAATGTATAATTTTATGTACTATACTTAGATCGGACCAAAGGTGGCGTAGTTCTAGATTTTCTAGGTCTAGAATTTCAAGTCTGGTGGCATAAGGTATTCTGCAAACAAGTAGAGGAGTGGAGAACTCTTCTTGAGAAATATTTCTGGACTTTCTCAACTGTATTAATATCAGATACATAATGCGGGTTCCAGACTGATGAGCTGTATGCAAGTATTGGTCGAGCAAATGTTTTGTATGGTCTAGTTAGTAGTGTGATATTACCAGAGAAAAAGCTACGCAGGATTAGGTTAACAATTCTTAATGCCTTTTTGGTACTGTACTGTAGTTACAATGGGCTCTAGCACATTAGAGATGAGTACTCCAAGGTTCTTGACAGAGTTTGGATCATCAACAAGGTCTTGACTATTCAGCTTGTATTTTATTCTGATTTTTTTTGTCAATATGTAAGACAGAGCATTTATTTGTTGAGATTTGAAGTTGCTATTTGTTTGACCATTCTGATATATAGTCAAGGTCTTTTTGAAGGGTAGCAGTATTGTCAGTGGTGTTGAATAGCTTTACATCGTCAGCGAAGAGAACGCAGTTGCTCTTAATATGATCACAGAGGTTATTTATGTAGAGTATGAAGAGAGTTGGTCCTAAAACACTGCCTTGGGGGACACCACTGTTGACAGGTACAGAATTTGATAGGACGCTCCCAATTTTGACCATTTGTTGTCTGTTTGACAGGAATGCTTCTATCCGGTTATGCAGGTGTCCAGAGATACCATAAGATTTTAGTTTTAGGAGTAGTTTGTCGTGTACCACTAAATCAAAGGCTTTACAGAAGTCTATGTAAATTGCGTCTATTGCTTTGCCCTGATCGAGTTGTGTATATGTTTTTGCAGTGTAAGAATTGCAGATTACAGAATAGTTTTTTCTGAAACCAAATTGTTTGTTAGAGAGTAGGTTGTTTGTCTCTAAATGGAGGATAATGGATTGGTTAATAATTGATTCCATGACTTTACAGGTGACGTAGCATAAAGAGATTGGTCTGTAATTTTCAACTAGGCTGGTGTCTCCCTTTTTGAAGATGGGGATGACCGTGGCTAGTGACCATAAGATTGGCAAGGAGCTGGTCCTGAAAGATTTTTCAAAGATTATGCTTAGAGGTTCGGCCATGGCAGTGGATAGCTTTTTTAAGAAGTAGGCACATATTCTGTCCAGTCCAATCGATAGAGATGTGTTAGGGATATACACCCTAGCAGAATGTGCACGGCACTCAGGCAGGCAGGCAAATATGTGAGATAAACGTTTTTGTAGCTTACACTCAATAAAACAGATACACTGTGCTAGTTAAATAGTTTATTCCAGTAAGAGTTTTATCATAGTCAAACAGTCCATATATCATTCACTAGTTCAGTCCATTCGGGGATTATTCAGTTGCAAAGTCCAGTTTCGAAAAAGGGGTTAGTAAACTTACAAATATCAGTCCAGTAATATATCTCCTCGCAGTAGAGATATAAAGAAGTCAAACCTCCTTTCTTCCTTCGACGTTCAAAAAACTCAGCAGCAGGGAACACGCAGTTAGCAAACCATCAATCCAGCATAGTCAACAATCCAGCAGGTTCTCTTGCTCCCTCCCATGGTGATTTTACAACCGCACCCAAAATTACATGCTTTGCAGTTTAAAGTGACACACACTTAAACTTACTATCATAGTTTATATATATTATTTTACCCAAAATACGTTAGGTAACCTTTTTATTCCTAACATACTCCCCTTTTGGGTAATATAATAATATATATATCTATTTACAACCTTAACCCATAGTCATCACAACTTTCTTTGTGTTTGACTGAACCTTGGGCTTTTGTAAATTGATCAGCAATATTTTCTTCAGTCATACAATATTCCAGTCTTATCAAACCATTTTTTACAGATTGCCTTACATTCAGATATCTAAGATCTGTATGCTTAGATCTCGTTTTTACAGCAATATTTGTAGCCATCCGTATGGCTGCTTAATTGTCCTCATATACTACAATGGAATCATTAACAGTTATTCCCATATCCAATAACAACTGTTTATACAGAATTAAATCAGTACATAATAAAGATAGACATGAAAATTCTGCTTCCATTGTGGACATACTTATGTGTTGCTGTCTAATTGACCTCCAACTAATCAGTGCTTTTCCTAACAGTATAGCCGTACCTGAAGTTGATTTCCTAGTGTTTATGTCTGTTGCAAAACTTGCATCAGCATATGCACTTAAAATCAGATCATCTTTTGGCTCCAAATACAATGCATAGTGCATTGTCCTTTTAAGATATCTTAAGATACGTTTTGTCGCTTGTCAGTGTCGTTCAGTGGGTTCAGCATTGAATCTTGCCAATTGATTAACGCTATAGGAAATATCTGGCCTTGACCAATTACTAATGTACGATAAACTACCAATTAGCGATTGATAGATAGTTTTATCAAATTTTGGACTTTGAGCATCAGTGTGGCCAAATTCCTGACTCATTGGAGTTTTTGCCGGTTTACAAAGTTCCATCTTGTATGTTTTTAGTAATTGATAAATCTTATCCTCTTGAGATATCTTATAGCCACCTTTGGCTTTATTTATTGTTAATCCTAGATACTGTTTTATCTCTCCTAATTGCTTTAATTTTATCCTCTTACCTAATAATGATATTATTTCAGTAGCTTCATTATTAGTTTTTGTAATTAAGGCAATATCATCAGTGAACAACAATAACAATGACACTGTTCCATTTGTCTCTTTCTTAAATACACATGGATCAGCTAAACCTGCTTTAAACCCTATATTGTTTAACTCCTTAACAATATATTGGTTCCATTCATAACCAGATTGTTTTAATCCATAGAGACTCTTTTTAAGCTTCCAACAGTCATTATTTGTTTTATCATCCTTAATTCCTACAGGTTTCTTTAGGTATATAGTGTGCTGCAATGGTGCATGCAGATAGGCAGTTTCTACATCTAAGTGATTTATAATATAGTTCTTCTTAGCTCCTCACACTAAAGCTGCTCTCAAGGTTGTTGCTTTTAGACTTGGTGCAAATACTTCATCATAATCACATGCAGTTTGATTAAATCCTTGAGCTACCAACCTAGCCTTATGGGTAACAGTCCCATTTTTACCTGTTTTTAATTTAAATATCCATTTGCAGCCAATGGATTTTTCACCTGGAGGTAATTTAACATTTTCATAAACTTCCATTTGTTTCAATGAATTTAATTCTTTCTCCATTGCTCTGTGCCAATTTTCTTGTTCCTTTGCTGGATACATTCTAAGTTCTTCAACAGTAGTTGAAACTTTACTAACTTGGCAAACTACACTTGCTTGGTACCTGTCAGGTGGTCTGGTTTCATGTGTTGAACGTCTAGGTATTACAGGGCTTACAGGTGGACTTTCATGTACTACCTGTTCCTGGTTATATATTTCTTCCTGTTCTGGTCCTATGTGCTCTTCCTGTACTTCCTCTTTAATTGTACTCTTCTTATTACTGATATGTTGTTTTGGTCTTTTGTAGGTTTCTATGATTACATCCTTACTTGAATCTTGCTCCAGTTTTTCCCATCCTACATGTTCAAGGAATTGTGCACTAGCACTACAGTAAACGCTAGATGTACCTTTTTCCCAGAATCTGTATGATTTGTGATTAGATTGATAACCTACAAAGAATAACTTTTTAGCCCTATGCTGCCCCTTATGTCTCAGTTGTGTAGGAATATGCACCCATGCTGGTGCTCCAAATGTGTGCATGTAGCTTAGGTCAGGTTTTCTACCATGCCACCGTGTGAATGGTAATTCACCTGTTGTTGAGTTAACAACATTATTCAATATATGATTACCACACATTATTGCTTCTCCCCACAAAGTTTCAGGTAATCCTGAATCCGACAACATAGTACGAGCCATTGCCTGTATTGTTTGGCCTCGTCTTTCTATAAAGGAATTATGTTGTGGCCTATATGGTGCAGACTTTTTATGTTCAACACCTGCCATCTTCAGTCTATTTTTGAATTTATTATTTATAAATTCCATACCATTATCAGTTACAAGAGTTACTAGTTTCCTTTTAGTTTTTCTTTCTGCAAACTTCAACCAATTAAAGAAATTCTGATATGTTTCCGTTTTACTCTTCATTAAATAACAGAAACCATATCTAGAATAATGATCCATTATGCTTAATATATAACGAGCACCTCCCACACTTGGTTTTTTAGGACCTATAATATCAGCAAATACGACCTCTAGAGGTTCCTTAGTCTTAAATCCATTTATTCTATTTGCTGGTATTACCTTGCTTTTTTCTTGACTGCAAATACAGTGCAAATACAGTGCAAATTGCAGTGCAAATACTTACTGC